GCAACTCCATGTTCTTTTTGAACTCGCTAGCAACCTTCCTCATTCCATCAATTTCTTTGTCCCTATTGGAAAGCTTGTCTTCACAAATTTTTCTCTTTTCCTCCTTAAGCCTGGCAGATTTCTTTAACATGACATTTTCCTCTTAAAGCTTCTTCAATTCCAAGGTCAGCTTCTCCAGGCTTTTCTTGGATTCATTCTTCCACTTGCCAAGCTCCTCATTTTCCTTCTTTGATTTATTTTGTTCCTCAAGGCTCTCAAAAAATTCATTTGACAATGCATGTACAAACTTAGTTACTTTAACACACATAACACTACCAAAGTTTTTTATTTCTAATTTTAACTTTGGCTACAACTAAAAACACATGACTACATGTCATGGATTTTTATCTCGGCTATAGCCAAAAACACATGCCCATGTGTCATGCCATTTTATCTTGTCTACGACCAAAAACGCATAACTACATGTCCTGAATTTTTCCCTTGCCTATATGACATTTGCTTTTATTTCACATCCGTTATCACTCACCTCAACCTCCTAACTTAATCATTCATAAGTGAGTGACTTGGGTGAGGGGAATAGTGTAAGGATAGGTCTAAGACCGCTGGTCTCGAACATTCTGTGTATTTATTAAGCTCGACCAACTCCCTAATTTGTTAAGCTTGGTTATTTGATAATTGAGGTGAAGCTTAAGTTGAGCTCTTCCCAGTTGCATGGTAATTATAATGAGAATGTCTTCACATAATCCCCTTTTCCCGAGATCCTCACCCTCTTTGAAACGTCAGATCTCTATTATCTTATTAAACAGGCCACGTGAGTACCTCATTAAGGCCTACAAATACCCCTGAGGGACACCTCTTAGAGGTAATTAAAATTGACCTAAAGCATTTTTTCCATCATTCTTTAAGAGTAGACCAGATTATTACTGACTTAAGCATCTGAATGTCTACCCCAAGGATCAACCTCGACGCTTTGTAGGTCTGTCCAAAGAGAAGATTGGGACTAAGAAAGACTCGTTGGTTTGTTACAATTACAGGGATTTTGTTGAACTAGGATGCAAAGGCAAAAGAGATGAAGAAAAAGAAGAACACCTTAGAATTGAGATTATTTAGATTGAAATTACCTTGGTTTTCAATTTTGCGTAGAGATAAAGTAGGTAATTCATCCTTCTGTTTTAAAATTTTATTTTTTAATTAATATTTTTAAAAATTGATTATTAAATTAAAAATTCTATTTATATAAATTATATATGTCAATTTTTATATTATTTATTGATATAATCTTTTAATAAAAAATTTTATTTATTGATATATATTTAACGATATTAAATTTTTTATGATCTATGAAGTGTTTAGTCTTATTAGAATAATTTAAAAATTAGTATACATGATCTATATGAATAAAATTTT